TAATGTAATTCTTCAAGAGTGTAGAGATGAGTAGAAGAGAACAGGTTGTACAATTATGTTTGATGGGTAGACAAATAAAAAAAGGCGTTCAATTTGTAATTTTGTTGGAGAAGATGACGTGGTGCAGGTGGTTATTGGTAATGTTGAAAATTTCAAGCTAGCTAGGGAATTGTTAATGTAGAAACGAAAGCATCTCTATTGGACACCATGTGCTGCCCATTGTATTTGTTGAAAGTCCCACATCGCCTACCTCATATCATTTGGTATGGTTTAAATACATGTTAGGCTACTCCACATATTGCCAATTGGTTTTATGTTGGAACCTTAACATGGTATCAGAGCCAAAGCCTAACATCTTTCCGGTTATTGTCATGGGCCAAAAGTTGCCCTTTAATTGGGTCAAAAGTACCCTTTGCCTGGTCCGGCGGGCTTCGTTGGAGGGGGTGTGTTGAAAGTCCCACATCGCCTACCTCATATCATTTGGTATGGTTTAAATACATGTTAGGCTACTCCACATATTGCCAATTGGTTTTATGTTGGAACCTTAACAGTATTGATTTGATCTTTGAAGATTTTGAGAAACATTTGAAGGTCCACTAAGTAACTATCGGAAGAATGATCACAACTTACATTTATGGTATAACAATGCTAATTTGTATGTTGAAGACGTTCACAAATGGAAGGGACTTGATAAGGCCTGGAATGACTAGATTTGTCACAACTTATTTGACTCTAGCTTGTCTTCTTGAATTGAAAGCGTCATTGATGAACATGTTTAGTTTTCAAAAGTGGAAAACAAGCAAATTTGGAACCTCACAAGCAAGGAGAAAAGTTGAAAACATTGTATTAGATAGTCGCTTTTGAAAGATATAACTACATGCCTAAAAGTAGCTGCTCCTCTTATGGTTGTACTTTGATTGGTGGATTCAAATACAAAACCCGGAATGAGTTTCATATATGAAGAAATGGATTATGCAAAGGAGAAGATTAAGAACAAATTCAATAATATTAAGAAAAGGTGAAAATTCTAAACCTTATATCATTTAGAATTTAAGTACGTAATTTGTAATCAACTTCTAATATAATACAATTGGTATTTTTGTAGTTATGAACCTGTGTAGAAAATCATTGATGAAAGGTGGGATAATCAACTCCATAGGCCTTTGTATGCAATAACTTATTATCTTAATCCCAATTTGCACTATGAACCTAATTTTAGAAATGATGATCTTGAGGTGAAAGAAGGGTTGTATATATGCATGCAAAGATTGATTAATGATGCCACAAAAAGGAAAAAGATCAATTTACAACTTATTGACTTTCATTATGCAAAAGGACACTTTTCTATGAAAGATGCAAAGGATTGTAGGAAAGCTATGCTTCCTGGAGAATAGTGGGAGATGTTTGGGGATGGAACTCTAGAGTTGAAGAGGTTTGCTATTCGAGTTTTGAGCTTGACTTGTAGCTCTTATGAGTGTGAACGTAATTAGAGCTCGTTTGAAATGGTAATTCAAGTTTATGTAATTATTTGGTTTTTAATTATCTTGATTTGGTTATATATCTATTAAAATTGATTCTTCAATTATAGGTTCATACAAAAAGAAGAAATTGTTTACACCAGAAAAAAATGAATGATTTGGTTTATGTCATGTATAACTTGAAGATGAAAAATAAAAAAAAATTAGGAAAAGTGTTGCTCTCCCATTTGATGATATTGAGTCAGATGATTAATGGATGACTGAAGAGGGAGATAATGTTAAGGTTGAGCAAACTCAAGTGGAAGGTGACGGTGGAAATGCTTACTAGTTGGACCAAGTTCATATGATCCAATTTTAGATGCACTTGAGTTTGATAATATAGTTTTTATCTCAAGGTTGATATACACTTCTCATCCGACGAGGACGAACTTGATGGTGATAATGAAGATGGTGATAAAGATTACTGGGGAGATGATTTCATTAGAGCATTAGATGAAGACATATAAACTTGATAACATTTATTTTTTGTAGTTATTTCCTTGTTATCTTATTATTTTAAGAATTTATATTAGATCGGTATATTATTGTATGAACTTATTTAAAGTAATGTGGAATTGATATTATCATATTTATTTTTAAATTGGTATTTTTCATATGAAGTAGACTTTTATGAGTCGAGTCTACAGACCTCTCACGAGTCTATGTAGACTCTCGAATATGATAACCTTGAAGGTGACACTGACATACATGTAGTATTTCTTTGTTTCAAGAGAGTAATATTGATATTCTTTTTGAAGGCAATAGTAGCCTAGAGAGACACATTTGATAGCCCAGGAAGAAAGTTTATATACTCTTGAGGATAAATTATGAACAAAACATACACAACCAAACACACAAGGAGAGATATGAGAGAGAGGTTCTCTGGGAAAGAGAATGGAATAAGGAACATATTGTTGAGAGAAGAGGATGAGGATTACATTCTATTAATAAGAAAACAAGTAGTTAGAACAACATCACCCCAATGATGGGTCGGTGGATTGACACTAAGTAATATGATACAAGTAGTCTCAATTAAGTGTCTATTTTTCCTTTTAGCAATACCATTTTGCTGAGGAGTATGAGGACATGTGAACTGGTGTAGAATGCCATGCAAATTTAGAACAACAAAGAAATGAGAGGAGAAATACTCTTTGGCATTGTCACTTATTAAGATTTTAATTACTTGACCAATTTGATTTTTGATTTCATTAAAGAAAGACATAAAGTTAGACAACCATTCTTAACGATCTTTCTTAAAATAAATCGATGTACATTTGAAATATTCATCAATGGAAGTAACAAAATATTTGAAACCATAAGATGAGACACGATTGGACCCCCAAATATTAGAATGAATAATAGAAAAGACAAAATTACACTTTTACTCATATATCTTTGGAAAAGATGATGTAACATATTTGCCTAATTGATATGACTTACATTTCAACATTTGGAGACTACTAAGTTCAGGAACCATTTTTTTTTATTTTGACAAGCTGAGATGACCCAAACAATGATGTAACAATTTGGGCTTTTGAGATAAACAAGATACAGGTGGCCTAGTTCCAGAATAATATAAACCTCCATATTCATGTTCTTTTCGAATGAGTTGCCCTGTATCACGTTCCTATATAACAAAAGAATTGATATCAAAAGTTATTGAACAGTTTGAAGACCTGGTTAATTGGCTTAATGAAATAAGATTAAAAGGACAAGAAGGACAAATAGGACATATTTTAAATTTAAAAAAAAGGTGAAAGAAAAACTTGACCACTCCTTTGGAATGAGCTTTAGAACCATTGGCTAAGGTAATGGAATGAGGATTCTTGGGAAAGAAAAGGGATGAGAACAAGGATGCATTACTAGAAATGGGGTCAGAAGCACCTAAATCAATTATCCATGGGTTTTAACTTTCCACAGATTGTGAAATGCAAATTGTTGATTGATTGAAACTTGATGATTGTTAAGTTATTGGATTTCAACGTAAGATATTCCTGATACTCTTCATCAGAGAACTTGGACTCAACTACTTTAGCTTTAGTGGTATTGAATGTCTTATTAGGAAAGTCATGTAATGTGAAACAATTCTCTTGAATGTGACCCATTCTCGTACAGTACGCACATTGAAGCTGCCTTCGGCCACTCCTTCTTCCTCTGGCATTACGTCTTGCTCTACCACATGTAGAAATCATGGTAGAAGATTTTATAGCCTCTTGGAGATTCTTGTTTGACTTGTAGGAACATGAAGAAGTCATGTAGTCAAATTTTCCATGGATGGGACTTCATGATCGATTAATAGTTGATCTCTGACATGTTCAAAATTTTGATGTATGGAACTAAGGATCATAACCATATAGAATTTATCCAGTTTTTTCTAAAGACTCATCTTCCAAGAACATATTTAGTTCTTCAACAGTAGATTGAGCTTCACTCATGAAAGTCATCATATCATGGTCTAATTGTTTAAGAGAGACAAACCTATTGGCAGAATCATAGAGGTGTTAAATATCATTTACGAAAATATTCTGAGCCTTTTCCCAAAAGGAATGACATGTTTTACAGACTCTAAGAGTTCCCAACAACTTTGATTCCACAAATTGTCGCAATAAGGCATAGCTGAAAATTAGTTTGTTTCCATTTTTCAGCTTTATCAGCTGGTACCTTACTCCCATTTTGTTCAAGGTGATCATGAAGACCTTGGTCAAGGAACCATAGTTCAATTGAGGCAAACCAAGATAGATAATTTTTTTCATTTAACTTTTCAGCGGTAATTGAAGGAGTTCCTAAGAAGGATAAAATAGGTAGAAAGGATATATTTGGTAATATCAACGTGCAACTTTAGGTTTAACTTAGGAAACTTAGAAACAAATATTCAAGGAAGCTAGAAAGAGGGACCTAGTGATTGTAACAGGGCCAGGGAGGTCAGGCGAGAGTGACGAAGATGTGCCTACTAGATCCAATGAGAGGAGAGCAAATGTGGACCCCACACGAATGGCGGCCGGCTGAGGACAGTGGACAGTGGTGGCCAACGAAAGACTATAGACCAGCAGAGTAGGGTGAACCTGCTTTCGTACCAACTTAAGATAAAATAAGAGAGAAAATAAATTTGAAAGGGTTTAATCACACCTCTCACATGTTATTTTATTTATAATGATAAAAATATATACACTGAGTAGATGGAAGGTCAAGGGCAGAAGTTTGAGCTAGAAAACATATGTACATAAATAGGTACAACGAATTGATAATTCCAACAACTAATTAATAATTCCAACACATACAAATTGACTATTTGATTAAAATTGAAATTTTGCCCTTTTTATGTCTAATGACCCCACGGAATCAAACCTGAAGGCTGTTGACTGGCCTTCTATCCTTATCTTTAACTATGAGAACAACATAGAGCGTTAGATTTGAAGCTGGAACTGTAGGGAGTGTAATGGTTGGTTGAGTATAATAGTTATGTAATCAGTAAGTAAAGTAGACATGTCTATAAATGGAATCATTGTCACAGGTGATACATCAATTCAGTTAAGTATGACAGGAATACATTATTAATGGTGCATCTAATCCTTTCTGAATTATAAGAACTTCCTTAGATGTCATTTTGGAGGGTTGGATCTGTGCTCATATGAACTTTCTGGTTAGAGTAGTCTAACTGTCTTGATGCTTGTTGCCACGAACTGGGCTTGTGGATGCCTTTTTGTGGGAGGGATCATGACTAAAAGTAGAATTAATATATTGCCTTCTTTTGCATTCATAGCAATTTTTTTGGTAATGACATGCACACGAGAAGAAAATGATTGGTACTTAATTTAGTATTCTCATGTAGTTTTGCCATTCAATCTGCTTTTTTATTTGTTTGAAATTTATCAGAGAACCAAGTTTATTTGGTTATGGAGATTATGAACTTAAATGTCTGATAATATCAATCTGTAAATATATGCAGGCGAGATTGAATAAAGTTAAACTTTTAGAAGCCATGGCAATATTTTTTGAAAGGTGATTATCTGCCAGCGTCCAGCCACATGGACTCCTTATGCAAAATTTTAATAGGTATCTTGAACTACTATTTCAGATCTAGTAGATCTGGCAATGACGAGATGCATGTAACTGGAGAAGTTGTTCGAAGATGTGGACTTTGTCAAGAATCAGACATGGTGCTTAGGAAAAATCGAGTATGTTAAGGGAATGATTACATTTAAAAACAAAGTTTGGAATTTTTGTGCTGATTTTTTTACTCTTTCTGTGTGATTTATTGGTGGTGACCTTTTTTGGGAATTGAATAAATGGCTCAATTATATGCCATTCATGTGCAATTCGATTATATGGTGATTAAGAAATTAACATGGGAATAGGAGGCTAGGTGTGGATTTAGATTGTTGGTTGTAGTAAATAATTTTATGTTCAGAGCATGAAACACAAAAGAAAAGACGTAGTAGGCTCTATCTTGTTGATATAAATTTTAAGTGTTTAACCATATCTTCTTGAATACTGCTGCATACTTTCTTATGTGTATACTTGCTGAATTTCGTTACTTCTGTGTATGAGGGCTTGCTTAATCATGATCTTAAATTTGTCCTTTTGTTTTAAGGAATTTATAGTATTTCAAAGAATTGGGGCATAATCTTTTATCTGATTAATTTTTTTATTACCATTTATCAGGATGGCAATTTTATGGTTGGATGTTTGGGTTACCCTCAGGTTGGTTTTTTTTTTTTTTGTCAGTTACCTGTTAATTACTCTGTTAAAGTTACAACTTATCTACCCTTGGAGTTGCCAGTTGCCAATAGTTTGTTGTGACCTCTGGGACGAAGGAGAGAAACACATATCTACAATTAAATAAATAATGATAAGAATTCTTTCTTAAAACAATGACAATTGAGTGAGGGGGACACCAAGGACCAAAAATAAAACCTACTGGTGCAATACAGTCGTCCAATCTGATACGAAATGATTGGAATCTCCAACAAAGAAGCCATGGGAATAGCATGGGTAACAAACTACTTATGAAAATACTGGCATTCTATTTCAACCCTGTGCACCTCCAAAGAAGTGTAAAAACAGTATACTGCCTTAAAGTTTTGGCTTCCTTTCTCCTTCCAATCCTTCTGAAGTTTTTGTATTATGCCTGTGTTCAACGTGCATTAAGTTGTGAGTTTCATAGTTTGTAGACAATATTTCATTGAGAAAAGTTTTTTTTTTTTTTTTTTTTTTTTTTTTTTTTTTATGAAACGTAAAATGTTAGGAGTGAAGATGGTGCTGCAATTCCGTTAGTTTTTTACGCATTTGGAAATAAACTGGTTCTAACACAATCCCAAAGTAGATCTAGGTGGACAATTGCAAATCTTTACAAGGAATATTTTGGCTTTATTCCTAGCCAATATGTATTGAAGTTTGAGAGAGAGGGAGGAAGAAAACAAATTCTCTCATTATGTAAAATGAATTTAAGCCCCCTGCAACTGAAGTACATGTATTTATATCTCAACAAGTAACTGACTATCTGTCACTTGGTTACATTAAAAAGAGTAAACTATTGCTGTACAAGAATGTAAAATAACCTGGAGTAAACCAATAATGTTGGGCATGTAAACACTCATTAACTTTCATTAATTTATGCTTAAGATACATAGTCCTATGAATACCTCTTCACATTGATCATAATATTTTGAAAATAATTTCCTTCCCCGTGACCTATTTTTAACTATATTTTGTACTATGCATAATTAAAGAGAAAGTAGTTAAGCACTCAGTCAGATAGAAATCCAATTTTTATCCTCACTGAATTCAATTTACGTGACTTATGAAAGTTGTGTGGTTTTCCTCCATTGTTGCCCCATCCCTATTTCTTCAGATCATAACTGACAGATGCTAATGATCTTTGAAAATGAACAGTGTAGAAATGCTGTTTGGCTCCCTGGATCACTATCAGAAGCAGTTGTGACCACCAATACATGCAATATTTGTACTCCTGGTTTGTCACTTAATTTAATCAAGATGCATCTGTAGCTTTGCAGTAAACAAATTAAATCAGTGGCTAGTATAATAATGTGGGATTATGGCCTTTTTTCCTCGTTTTTAATAAAATTGTTAGATATGATTAGATATTAAGTTGATATTGTTTGATATTGTTGAGATATTGTTAGATATTGTTAATCACAATATCAAATAATATCTTTTTATTTACCCTATTTGTATTCTGTTACTCTTTTGAGGAGTACCTTTCTTTATTATAAATACACTGCCCTATGTGTGGTAAATACATAAGGGAAATTAACCCTATATTCAACATGGTATCAGAGCCAAAGCCTAACATCTTTCCGGTTATTGTCATGGGCCAAAAGTTGCCCTTTAGTTGGGTCAAAAGTACCCTTTGCCTGGTCCGGCAGGCTTCGTTGGAGGGGGTGTGTTGAAAGTCCCACATCGCCTACCTCATATCATTTGGTATGGTTTAAATACATGTTAGGATACTCCACATATTGCCAATTGGTTTTATGTTGGAACCTTAACATGGTGTGTGAGTCCTGTCAGTTAGGCAAACATAGTCGTACTTCCTTTTCTCGTAGTGTTTCCCAGCGTGCTTCATCCCCCTTTGCCTTAGTTCACTCTGACATTTGGGGACCCAGTCGTGTTAAGTCTAATTTAGGTTTTCAATATTTTGTTACTTTTATTGATGATTTCTCTCGTTGTACTTGGTTATTTTTAATGAAAAATCGTTCTGAGTTGTTTTCTATATTCCAAAACTTTTATCATGAAATTAAAAATCAATTTGGTGTCTCTATTCAAACTTTTCGAAGTGATAATGGCCGTGAATATCTTTCAAACTCGTTTAAACAATTTATGGCTTCTCATGGCATTCTTCATCAAACTTCCTGTGCTTATACCCCTCAACAAAATGGGGTGGCTGAGCGCAAGAATAGACACCTTATTAAAACAACCCGTACTCTTTTAATTCATGGTGAGGTTCCTCAACATTTTTGGGGTGATGTCGTTCTTACTCGCTCGTTATCTTATTAATCGTATGCCCTCTTCGGTTTTAGATAACAAAATTCCCCATTCTATTTTATTTCCTCATGACACTCTCCATCCTTTACCTCCGAAGGTTTTTGGGTCTACCTGTTTTGTCCACAATTTTGATCCTGGTCATGATAAGTTATCTCCTCGATCACACAAATGTGTTTTCTTAGGATTTACTCGATCCCAAAAAGGATACAAGTGTTTTTCTCCTTCTCTTAATCGCTATTTTGTGTCTGCCGATGTCACCTTCAATGAGTGTTCCTTTTACTTTAAGGACCCTTCCCTACCTGCTGAGTCTCCATCTGCTACAGTTCCCATTCCTATTCTCATTGATCCTTATGTTGAGGACCATCCACCATTAGCCCCTCCTCCTCCACCACCCCTTCGGGTTTATAGTCGCAGACCTCGCCCACAACAGACGCCACATGACTCACTCCCAGTGCCAAATACTCGCCTCCTCCGGTTCCGTCCACGAGTCCGACCTTCCTATTGCCCTTCGTAAAGGTACGCGTTCTACTCGTAATCCTTCTCCACATTATACTTGCTTTAAGTTATCATCGAATTTCTTCACCATTTTATACCTGTCTCTCGTCTATTTCTTCCGTGTCTATTCCTAAATCGTCTCTCGAAGCCTTAGCCCACCCTGGTTGGCGTCAGGCCATGCTAGATGAACTCGGTGCTCTTCGGACTAGTGGAACCTGGACGCTTGTCCCATTACCATCTGGAAAATCTGTTGTTGGTTGCGGTGGGTCTTCGCTATCAAGGTTGGTCCCGATGGTACTATTGATCGCCTCAAAGCTCGCCTTGTAGCCAAAGGCTATACCCAAATTTTTGGGTTGGATTATGGTGATACTTTCTCTCCGAGTGGCAAAGATGGCTTCGTTCGTTTATTCATTGCCATGGTCGCTATTCAACAATGGCCTCTTTATCAACTCGGATGTCAAAAATGCTTTCTTGAATGGCGATTTGCAAGAAGAGATTTATATGGAGCAACCTCCGGATTTGTTGCTCGGGGGAGTCTTCCGGATTGGTATGTCGTCTTCGCAAATCTTTATATGGCCTAAAACAGTCTCCTAGGGCCTGGTTTGGAAAATTTAGCGGCGTTGTTCAACAATTTGGCATGACTAGAAGTGAGGCGGACCACTCGGTCTTTTACCGTCACTCGAATGTCGGATGTATCTATTTGATAGTGTATGTCGATGACATTGTTCTTACGAGTAGTGACCATCATGGCATCTCTCGGATGAAACAACACCTTTGCCACCATTTTCAAACCAAAGATCTTGGCAAACTCGGATATTTCTTGGGTATTGAGGTAGCACAATCTACCGATGGCATTGTTATATCTCAAAGAAAGTATGCATTGGATATTTTGGAGGAAACTGGGTTGATGAATTCAAAGCCTGTTGACACACCCATGGATCCTAATACCAAACTCTTGCCAAATCGGGGGAGCCAATGTCGGATCCTCGAACAAGTATAGAAGATTAGTCTCGAAAATTAAATTATCTTACGGTTACTCGCCTCGACATTTCCTTTGCGATCGGTGTGGTGAGTCAATTCCTCAATTCTCCTTGTCAAGATCATTGGAATGCGATCATCCGTATATTGAAGTACATCAAAAAGTCTCCTGGAAAAGGTTTGGTGTATGACTCCCATAATCATACAAGAGTTGTCTCGCTATTCGGATGTCGATTGGGCAGGATCTCCCTCCGATAGAAGATCTACATCCGGGTATTGTGTTTCCATTGGTGGTAACTTGATCTCATGGAAAAGTAAGAAACAAAGTGTTGTGGCAAGATCCAGTGCAGAAGCGAGTATAGAGCTATGGCCTCGGCTACCTGTGAACTTATTTGGCTCAAGCAATTGCTTAAAGAGCTACAATTTGGAGATGTCACTCAAATGACACTAGTGTGTGACAATCGAGTCGCTCTCCATATAAGCTCTAATCCTGTCTTTCATGAGAGGACTAAACACATTGAGATTGATCTGTCATTTTATTCGGGAAAAGATTATGTCCGGAGACATCAAGACCGAGTTCGTTAACTCATGTGATCAATTAGCGAGATATTTTCACTAAGTCTTTACGGGGACCTAGGATGGATTATCTTTGTACCAAGCTAGGCACATACGATTTGTATGCTCCAGCTTGAGGGGGAGTGTTAGATATGATTAGATATTAAGTTGATATTGTTTGATATTGTTGAGATATTGTTAGATATTGTTAATCACAATATCAAATAATATCTTTTTATTTACCCTATTTGTATTCTGTTACTCTTTTGAGGAGTACCTTTCTTTATTATAAATACACTGCCCTATGTGTGGTAAATACATAAGGGAAATTAACCCTATATTCAACAAAAATAATAAAGCCATGAATTTAAAGACTATGAGCATGTAAGTTGAAATTATAGGGATTTAAGTGGGATAGGAAAAAAAAGAGTCTTTGAACAATACTTTGTTGAATGTGATGATGTGATGGAAGTGATATTGTGAGAAATGGTGCAGTATTATGAAGAAAAACATTGTAGGAAATTTGTGATTCACAAAGATTTGTATGATTAGGAATATCCCATGAGTCAGGGGATACAGTAGAGTAGGGAGATACTTTGTTTCCTTTAATACCAAAATAGCTTTGAGAGTGTAGTTTTACTGCTGTTGTACTGAATTTTTTCAATACTTTGTACCGCTGGAGATCTCATACGGTTGTAATTCTTACAAACCTAAGTGCTATTTAGAATTAATTAGCTGTACAGGCACATACAAAAACCTGCTGTAAATCTGTTCTAGCAGGACTGAATTCATTTTCACAAATATTAATTCTCCATCTAATTTATTTATGTTTTAGTGATCTTAACCCTGCATCTTGTTTTAATATTGTGATCATATCTGATTGCATGAAATGTTATAGGTCCTGTTTACTTAATTCAGTTCAAGTTTAGGCAGCTCGAAATTCCACCAAACTACAGTGCCAATCATTTGGGTAGGTGATAAAGGAGACTCAGAAAATATGGAAAAGGATTCATTTAATTCGTTCTTGAACTTATTAATTCATTCACAAATGTGATGACTCAAACCCTTTTTTGGTTAAAATGTTCTTGTTTAATTAATGCATGTGATATATGATAGGTTGCATTGGTGGCTGTGATGAGATTCTGGCACAGTTGACAGAAATATGTGGTAGGGGCTCTCGCATGCCAGGTCTGTGTGAAAGGCTAAGTAATTTTTTGGAAACTCTATTAATATTGCTGGATTATACCTATACAGAGTTATGTTGTGTTGAACAATAGTTATAAGCATGTAATGTGAAAAAACTTTTGAGATAACCTATGTGTATATGGCATTTTCAATACAACATGTGAGTGGATTAACGACATTCAAACATTTTTAGGGGACAGTAACATTTATTCTATGGATATTATTAAAATCTTTAAGCTATTTTTTAGCTTTTGTTTTTCTTTTTATCTAAAGTATTAAATATGTTTTATAATTGTGGTGACAATGCAATGGGTGGGGACAGAACAGAATGCATGGTTTAATCTGCTTGCTGCCATTCCGATTGTTTCCATGAATAAATATTGGTACCCTCTCAATATACCTTGTAATGTTTTCCAGCAAGACCTCGAGGTCCAACTGCACCAACCAGCAATGTCCATCATACAAACCCCAGGCAAGGAGCTTGCGTGAACTGTCAAGAAACAGGACATTCTTCTTATGACTGTCCTTTACGTACTGGGAATGTTCGACAGCGTGGAATGAGTGAAAATAATGGTAAGGTCTCTGTAGATTTTAAAATCCCATGCCAGTTTAGACTGCCTTGAGAAATATAAGAAATGTATTTCTTGGATATGTAGTGTTGTCACAGGGATATGAGCAAATGGTGACAGTGAATCATGATTCAGATATAAGTAAACGTGGTTCTAGGTTTTCTATCAAAGAACTATAGCCAATAGGAACAAAAAACGTTTTGAATGTTATTACAGAAAGAATGTATACCAGGAGTAGAGAACAAGTCAGTATTACTGTCCTTTTCATATCCAGATTTAAGCTATTTATTACAATATGAAAAATTATCCTAACTATTATAGCCTTAAACCGCCATTGCAATCATTTATAACAATGCCCCTCCCACAATACCATCCTTGTCCTTAAGGATCAAAAGACAGTTATTTCTTCTTGAGATCGTAGTAATATTCCCATGTTGAGTCCTCTGGTAAATAATGTTTTCATTGTACAAGGACTTTAGTTACAGGCATCCCTTTTCTCCTCACTGTTATTGTGTCCACAATCGTCTTAGGTTCGTTATCCACAAGGACATTTTCTTGCAAATATGGTAGCTGAGTCGAAGTAACCACGTTACCCATGAATCTTTAATTGGGAAACATGAAAAACATTATGAATCTTACTAGTTGTTGGCAACTCCAGTTTATATGCAACAACTCCTATTTTGTCTATTATTTTAAAGGGACCAAAGTATTTAGGACTAAGTTTAGCATTGTTTCTGGAAGTAATTGAAATCTGCCTATATGGGTGTAATTTAACGTAAACCCAATCACCAATCTGGAATTGATTATCTTTTTTGCACTAATTTGTTGTTTGTTGCATCCTATCTTGCGCTCTCCACAAGTGGAATTTGAGGCCCCTCAACATTTCTAAAAGAAGAATCAGAGCACAAATTAATCAAAATAAAGGAAGATTATCAAACCTAATTGTATAACCTTCCTTATCCGTTGTACAGCTATACCATAGTTGCCCTTTTCCTTTTTTTGTCTCTGCTGCATTCTGTTATAGAATTTGCTGTGCTGTAACTTTTCAATTATTCTTTTAGGGTGTATAGATGTCGTGCTGAATGTACCTTTTCTATTATTCCTTTTTGTCATCTTTCATTCCTTTAGGGTGCACAGATTGTATAAATATCCCCCTTTCATTGATCAAAGGAAATGACAGAAAAGAATTATTTTCATTACATTTGTCTCTGAGCCTTCCTTTCTCTATCTTTGTGTTTTTCTTTTATGGTATCAGAGCTCCTCATTGGAGCTTTGTTTATTCCTCTGTCAAAATGTCCGATGCCACACCAACACCTGACCCCTGTCTTGATCCCTCCAGTCCATACCATATACACCCTAGTGAAAACCCAAATTTTGTCTCTGTCACTCCAGTCCTAAATGGCAGCAATTACCATTTCTGGTCCCGTTCCATACGAATGGCCCTAGTTTCCAAAAACAAGATGGGTTTCTTGAATGGAACTAGACATGTACCAACTCCCACTGATCGTGTTTATCTCTCTTGGGAGGTTGCAACACTGTCATTATCTCGTGGCTGCTAAATTCGTTGTCATCGCCTATTGCTCAGAGCGTCATTTTCCTTGACCACGTTGTAGATATCTGGACAGACCTTAAAGAGAGGTTCTCTCAGAGTGATCTATTTTGAATAGCAAAGCTCCAAGAGGACATTTACGATCTCCAGCAAGGCTCACGCTCAGTATCTAACTATTACACAACACTGAAGTCTCTTGGGGAAGAGCTCGATAACTTTTGACCCCTCCCCGTTTGTACATGCTCAGCCAAAGTCTACCATCAACAAGATTTTATAATCTGTTTTCTGAAAGGCCTTGATGACCACTTTGTCGTCGTTCGTTCGCAAATCCTTTTGATGGATCCTCTTCCATGTTTTTTCCATGGTTATTCAACAGGAACAACAACACTCAACACCGGCACCCATTGAGGAACCAAATGCCTTCGTCAACGCCGGGCAATCGTCCTATGGCAAAGGACACGGCGGGGGCAGCCCTAGCGGACCACCTGGCGGGAACAATCGCACTGGTGGCTCCAACAAACGATGTATCTATTGCGGTCGAACTGGGCACACCGTGGAGGTCTGTTATTCCAAGCATGGGTATCCCCCTAGTCACCCACAATACCCAAGACGTCCACGATTCCATAACCGTGATAATTCATCCTCGTCTACTGTCATCAACAGCATCGCACAAAAAGGGGAAACAATGAACCTTTCTTTTGTCACTCCAGACAACTCCAATGAGTCAGGCTTCAGTCTAACTAGGGCCCAATATCAAAGCCTTCTTGGCCTCCTACAACAGCAAAAGCCTAATCCTGATCCTCATTTGTTCGCGATTTCCTCTCAGCCCAAACATGTCAATATTTCACAGTGACCAAGTCTAAACCACCTGACTCCACTAATATGCATTTTGGTATCAGTTTTGTTCTCTGCATCACTACCAACCCATATTCTTTGTCCAACGCACATACTAAGTCCACTGTTCCTGACACTCACACACTTAATAATGTTTCTTGGATTATTGACTCAGGGGCTACTGATCACATTACCTGCTCTTTTAATAATTTTTCAAATTTTTCAAAAATTAAACCTATACACATTAATTTACCCAATGGTTCCATGGTTGTTGCTCGTATCTCTGGCACTATTCAACTATCTCCACATTTCATTGTTCATGATGTCCTCTATGTGCCAAACTTCAGATTTAATCTCCTTTCAATTTCCAAGCTTTTATCTTCACTTAAATACACTCTTGTGTTTTCTAATTCTCATTGTCAAATACAAGAAATGAAGTCATTGAAGATGATTGGTTTGGCTAAATTGAAGTATGGATTGTACCACTTGGAGATAAACAAGGATAGTGATCATGCCTTTCCCAAAGTTTCGTTCATCAATAATTTTTCCACACCACCCATTACCAACACCAACCTTTGGCATTTTAGGTTAGGACACCTCTCCAGAAACCGTCTCAATGTCCTTCATACTAATTTTCCTTTTATTTCTAAGCATGTTGAAGAGAATTGTGATGTCTGTCACTTAGCTAAGCAAAAAAGGTTGTCATATTCTCCCAGTTCCAATAGAGCTTTCAAAGTTTTTGATTTAATTCATTTAGACATTTGGGGTCCTTTTTCTCAATTCTTAATTCATGGTCCCAAATATTTCTTAACTATTATGGATGATTTTAGCTATTACACGTGGGTTGTGCTCCTAAAATCTAAAGCTTAAGTTAAAACAAATGTTCAAAATTTTGTTATCTTACTTGAAAATCAATTCAACATAACCATTCAATGTGTTTTGTCTGACAATGGTCTGAAATTCTTTCAACATGATTTTTTCTCTTCCAAAAGGAATTCTTCATCAAACTAGTTGTGTATATACACCCCAACAAAATGAACTTGTTGAAAGAAAACACTAACACACCCTAAATGTAGCTAGAGCCCTTATGTTTCAATCTCAACTTCCAAAATATTATTGGTCATATGCCATAAAACATGCTATTTATCTTATAAATCGCATTCCATCCCTTGTTATTAATAATCAAACCCCTTTCATATTGTTACATAAACAAAATCCAGATTTTTCCATGTTAAAAGTTTTTGGTTGTTTATGCTATGCCTCAACACATCCTCCTTGCAAAAAATTTGATGCACGTACTAGACGTGGTGTTTTTTCGGGATTTCAAACTGGAACAAAGGGGTATGTTATTTCAGATTTAAATAATAGGGAAATTTTTGTTTCTCGCAATGTTTTGTTCAATGAGTTGGTATTTCTTTTTACAAAATTAAACCATCAGCCTACTCACCAAAGCCCACTACAGCCCAACAACTCTCCTACTCCTGCCATTAGTTTCTTTGATTACACCACTCCCACCATTCAACCCAACATCGAACCCTCACACCCTTCTGACAATGTTCCTCTAACTCCCCTTTTGAGTCACCGAGGAGATAGGGAAGGTGTATAGGAGCTGGTTGCCCATACATTATTTCAAATGAGACAGCTTTTATGGCAATGTGGTAAGAGGTATTGTACATAAGGGTAACCATTTACCATGACTAATAAATTGACTAATAAACAATATCTCTGTCACTGGCATTGTACTAGGACAACCATGTAATTTGAATACATTATCCAAATATATTTGGGCTACATCACTAGCTATATAAGGATGAGAGAGAGCCATGAAATGAGCCGCCTTACTCAGCCTATCTATCACCACCAGGATGGCCTATTTCCCAAAAGAATGTGGCAGCCCTTTAATGAAATCCATGGTCACATGCTAGCCATATATGTTCTTGCAAGAGTCTTGGAGAAGCTGATGTGTCATACTTGCATTATTGACAAATACCACACCTATGGATAAACTTCTTTACATCATTGGATAACGCTTTCCAATATATCACAACTTTTACTCTCTTCATTGTAGCCCCCAATCCTTGAATGACCCCCATTCGATGATGAGTGTAACCGCTGCAACACTTTATTCCTCAATTTTGGATCATTACCTACAACCAATTTTCCCTTTCTTCTAAGTTCCTCTTGCTGCCAGGTATAATTCTTGTGGAGGCCCAAATCTTCTTGAATCTCCTTGATTACTTTTTTTATGTTTGTATCCTGGGTCCACGACCTATAAATTCTTTTCACCCAATTCATTTCCAATTGCTGTGTAGTGAGATTGTTACACTCAAGGATGCTTCTTCTTGAGAGCGCATTTGCCATAACATTCTCATGTCCTTTTTTATATTCAATTGTAAAATCAAACTCCATTAATTTTACCAGCCATTGCTGCTGTAAATATGGGGTTAGTCTTTGATCAATTAAGTATTTCAAGCTATAATGATATGTTTGCACCGTAAAGTGTGTGTTGATGAGGAAGTATCTCCATTTCTGCATTACAAATACAACGGCTAGCAATTCCTTATCATACGTAAATAAAGCTTGTTGTTGTACGTTCAATGTTCGACTAATGAAAGCAATTGGATGTTGTTCCTGCATCAATACAGCTCCTATACGACAACTTGAAGCATCCACCTCCATTACAAACCCCTTAGAAAAATCTGGGAGAGCTAATACTGGTGCACAGCTCAACAATTTGTTCAACTTCTGAAAAACCATTTATTTTCATTTGATCGGATAAATCCCTCCTTCTTAAGCATGTCAATCAAGGGTTTTGCCACAATTCCATATCTTCGGATAAACCTTCTATAGTAACCTTCTATAGTAACCTTCTATAGTAACGCACAAGACTCAATAAACCTCTCATCTGTTTAATGGTTTGAGGTAGGGGCCAGTTGCACATAGCTTCTATTTTGGCTGGGTCTGTAGTCACTCCACTGCCCGATGTCCCAAGTACTCAACTCTTGGAACTGCGAAACAACATTTTCTTTTTCTAGCAAAGAAATAGTTTGCTCGCAAAGTAACGAGCACTTGCTTCAAATGATCCATGTGTTCCTCCAAATTCTTGCTAAAAACCAAAATTCGTCAAAGAAACCAAGTAAAAATTGGCGAAGGAATTTATGGAATACCTCGTTCATCAATGTTTGGAATGTGGTTGGGGCATTAGTGAGACCAAAAGGCATCACCAAATATTCGTAATGGTCGCCATGTGTTTTGAATGTTATTTTATACATGTCATCAGGGTGCATCCTTACTTGATTATAACTGGCTTGAAGATCAATTTTGGAGAAGACAAATGATTCGTGTAAATCATCCAATAAATCATCAACTAAAGGGATGGGAAATTTCTTCCTGATTGTATGTTTATTCAATTCCTTGAAATCCATGCATAACTTCCATGATCCATCTTTTTTGCCCGTGAGTACCATTGGACTAGCAAAAGGACTACAACTCTTATGGATAACTCTCGATTGTAAATAACCTTCGACCAACTTATCAATTATATCTTTCTGACCCTTGGCATACCTATAAGGCCTTTCATTAACAGGATTGGTTCCATGCATAAGAGGTATTTTACAGTCCTGATTATCTCGAAAAGGTGGCAATTGGGTGGGTTCACTGAAAATATCTTCAAACTGCAGCAAAAGTTTATCAATCACTCTGGGTATGTCAATTTGTTGGCATGTGTTGTCAAAGATTGCAACAATTCCCCTTTCTTGTCACTTTGTTGTAATATCGCAAGAAGGACTCCAATGAAAAGCCTTATCAAACTGTTGCTTTTTAGCAGTTTTTATAAGCTTAGAAGAAGCGCCTTTTAGCACATACTTCTTTCCCTACACATGAAACTCCATCATCAATTTGTTGAAGTTCCATATTATGTCCCCCAAAGTGATAAGCCACTCAATCCCCAACACCATGTCATAACATCCAAGAGGAATGAGAAGCATATCTAAGGTGAATGGTGTTTGCTGAATCGTCCCACTAAATTTCCTGGCCCTAGACTCACCAACTTGGATCCATCTGCCACAACAACTTGAATTTGAGACGACTATTCAATCTTGCACCCGAGTTCGCGAGCTACATTAACATCTAAGAAATTATATGTGGAACCATTGTCAATGAGGATATGTGGTGGTTTTTTTTTTCAATATCCCGTAATTCTTATGGTTTTGAAGTTTGTCATTCCGGTTAACGCATTAATAGACAATTGAGGTGGACAATAGCCAATTGCACCCTTACATCGTTAGGAGTTTTATCAATCAAGAAATAATTATCTCATTGATTAATCCATTGATTTACATTATCTCCATTAAAAGTTGGAAAGTCAATTCTAACTAATTGGGTTCCAAAAGAATATACTTGTGCAGGGGCACGATTGTCCCGTGAGTTAGATGCTGCTGTTGAACCCTTAATTTCTTCAGCTTGTTGTTTGAATAAATCTTGAATATGATCTTTTAAAGAATTCGTCAAAGTCTTTTGTACAGAGCCTAGAAGCTCCATTAATCTTGATTCAAACTTGATACTCATGCGTTCTTCCAGTTCTTTAACCGCCACTGTAGTACATGTTGCTTCAGCCATGACAAAGCTTTCCCAAGATCGTCAAGCTGTTGATAGAAATAAACGTAGTCCTAGGATTTCTATTGAAAAACTATAGTCAATAGGGAACAAGGAACGTTCCGAATGTTATTACAGAAAGAATGGATACCAGGAGATAGAGAACATGTCAATATTACCGTCCTTTTAATATCCAGATTTAAGAATTAGTGTTTGAATTTAATTTACTAGTTTTCTATATGTCCTCATCACTCTAGCTCAAGTTTTTGGTTTGTGTTCCTTACTTCTGTATATTTTTCAATGGAATGTTAAAAGGTGAAAACAGACTTATTTTGTAAGCAGTAATCTTCTTAACTTTGTGCATCATGTCAGAAAATCTAGTTTTCTTTTATCATGCTTTTTGCAGTCATTTAGCAGCCGTCAATATTGAAATTTAAAGCTAAACCATTAAACAATGCAGGGGAAGCTTCTGTTTCATGCAATTCGTGTGGAACACCATGTGTTTTGAGAACTGCGAATACTGCAAATAACAGGGGAAGGAAGTTCTATTCATGTCAATCACAGGAATGCAACTTTTTTGTGTACGTGAACTCTTATTTATTTATTTTTATATGATTATAATTCAGCGTTCTTGTGTTATATTTACTCCTATTGCCAGAAATGTGAAGAATTCCAACGATTTTTGTTTACTGGCCCATGGTTTTATTTGTGGGGGTATTCTTGTTTTGAACAAGGGCAGGGGAATTGCCTTTTTTATTTATGCCAATTTTTTGTAACTATCACATCTTTGGCACTTAATAATATCTGGACTTTTGACAACCGAATGATTAAACCTGTCAACTCTTTCTCTTACGCTGCTTTTCATCCACATAAATAGCTTGAACTGACATTTACAATTGGATTTAAATATGAATTTTCCTCACTATTACAAATCTGTGGATCTAATTTTTTGAAGAGTCATCGACTCTATTTTCAAGTATGTGATAGATTATGTTTCAAGCAGTTTAGAGAAATGAGCCATATTGCATGGTTTTTAGGTAGTTATTTGTTTTTATAATAAGCCTTATCACCCTGTCACAGGTGGGAGGATAGCCTCAATGATGCCACTGGAGGCAGAAGTGCCACACGTTCAAATAGTATTCCATCCTCCAATTCTAGACAAAGTGGTGGACGTGGATCTCGTGGTAGAGGTGGCCGGACTGGAGCTAATACCGCTAGCACAACATTTGTGTCAGCGACCGGAGATCCTATTTCTGGTAGAAGATGTTTTAGGTGTGGTGATCCATCTCACTTTGCAAATGTCTGTCCCAATCGTGGTGTCTGATCACTTCTCAATTATTCATCTCAACTGTATATATGAGTACAGTTTGGCCTTCAGAACCTTTCTTTTCTCATTTTTTACTATTATGTATGTGTTTGATTAAACACTGGGAATGCATTTTTTAGCATTCATTTCCAAAACTTGTACTGGTTCTAATATGCCAATGCTAAGTGTCAAATCGTTTTTATTCACTGTTCAATTGTCTCTTGTATAAAGGAACATTTTGCATTAACTTCAAAATAATTGAAGAATCTATTTCAATTGAATCTCCTTAGCGTATGGGGAAGTTGTAGTTCCCGAATTCCATGACTTCTGGAATACAATTGTGCTCTTGAAGCCTTTTGATAAAGGGTTGTTGAGACGGATCAATTCCTGTTTATCTTTTATTGGTTGGATGATATGTAAATATCGTTAGAAGCCCTCATTCAATCCAATTTAAATAGGACTCTCTTGAAACTTTTTTCCTATGAAAAAGCACTGTAATGCTGCATGCTTCATATTTATTCAAGTTGGAATGAGAACTGCTTATGCTCTACAATGATAAATTATATAGACTTTTGTTTCATTTCCATCACACAGTATGTACTATTTTGTATTACTGAAACTGGTCCCATCGTTTTCAAATCCTGAAAATTTGGTGACACCGTCCATTTGTCCAAGCACATGGTGGGTATGCTGTCACGAAACTATCCATTTGCCAAATCTGTAGGGAGCATGTGCGAAGGTAAGATCATAATTGTTTGACTGTAGCTAAGGAGGGAGCATTAAACCCATACTTAGTAACGAAGGCATAAATCATGTCTCAAATTTCTCTGCTAGTGTCTAATTTATCAAGTGTTTATTTGTATATGAATATTAACCAAAGCATATAAGTGGCATGGAAATTGAATCTTCATTGTTAGCTTGATAATGCAAACCCATCGAATTATTTTTTTCTGTATGGATTTGTTTTTTCGAGCTATTTGAGCCTCTAATCAAATTATTTTTAATTTGCAAATCATGTGCGTTTGGGCTTTTAACAATTTGAACAGAATAAAGACACGTCATCTTCGGCCACATAAACATGTTGCTGATTTTTCTCGTAGCAAGCAAGCAGAGATTCACATGTTCACGATATCTATTTTTTATATTTTTGTTTCTCTGTGCTTTATATTTTTCATGCACGATTATTTCCGTATAGATCTTAATGATGATATTCCTCGATGGTTGCCAAATGGATGGTTTTTGAAGGGAATGTTAATTTAAAGCCAAATCGAGTGATTGTACAGATCAGTAAAAAGAAATTAGTTGGTCATGTAATTAGCTCTCCTTATTTTAGTTCCATTATTTTATTCTTTTCTACATATCAAATATCTTTTCCGTTCTCTTCATCTAAAGGTTTGAAGTAAATAAAACTTTCCAGTGTCATATGTATGTCGACTACTCCGTTGATAAGTTGTATTTTGTATATTCTATAATGCAATTTGATATTTAAATAAGGATGATTGGTTCAGTTCTCCAAGATTTCCGTAGTTGTTTTCTAAGAATAGCTGATTTTTAGTTTTGGATAGAACCTGCGGAATAATGCTTAACATTAAAGCATGTGAATTAGGACTAACCAAGGAAATAAGAACGACAACTTGCATTTTGCTTAGGTACTTGATAATGGACGGTTTACGAATATGCGGCATGTTAATTGCGCCCAAAGCTTATGCAGACAATAATCTTTTACTAATCCAAAGTATCGTACAGATCATTATTCCAATTACTTATTCATATATTTATTTTATATGTTTTCTACAATATTAGTTTCTTTATTCTCTTCTTACTCCATACTCTTATTTCATTATTGTTTTATATATAACTTTCGTGCAGTTTCTTTGTTAATTCAATCTCACTTCATGAGAGTAGGTAACCGAGAGGTGAGGATTAAATTATAGCTTATTGCCAGAGTTGTCCTTGGGCTTCAAAGAGTGTAGTTTCGACCATACTCGCTAAGGTAGTGGGTAGCATAATTTTCAAGCAGAAAGATAAAAAAGTCTTTCCCATATTCTCTTTTTAGAATATTATAAATGTCTCCTTACCTTTTTGTATCCTCTGCAATTAAAGTCTCGCTTGCTTTTTATTATTATTTTAATCTTGACTTCAATAGTGGTGCATGGAATTTGAAGGTGGGGAAAAGGCATCAAGTGAAACCCACCGCTACCCCAGGGTTAGGTGCATATATAGATGTAGATGGTTTAGCCAGATTCGCAGAGGACAAATAACATAGGTTACAAAGTGTGCGCACTTCTAACACGTGAAATAAATAAATATATACAAAGTTCATTTTATCTTTTACCACAAAAATTAACACAAAGTTGAGTAGATCCGTAGGAAGGAACTGGGAAAGTAAGAAATTCATTTATAGGAATTTGGCCTTTCAATGTTAAGAATAAAATGAGTAAGCTTACTCCTTAGAGCTTTTTAAACTTTTCTCTCAATAATTACAGGAAAAAAATAGTATAAAAATTTTATATAGTTAGTTTTTATGAAACTAAAATATTTAACTTTTCTAGAATTTACTGTATATAAGCTAATATTAACTTATAGGTAGTTTAATGTATTTTATCTTTTTACAAATTTTTTAAAATAAATTATTCACATAAAATAAATAAATAAAATTATTTTTAATATATTGGTGATTTGTTGTTTAACCTTTAAGTAAAATTATTTATTTCACTCTTTATTTTGAGTTTGATAACAATTTCTGTTATCTTTCTGTGAGCCACCAGTTGAGTAGTTAGAAGTGTATCAATGTATACATGAATTTTTGAGTAACAATTCTTTTTTTGACTAATTGTTTCGTTTATCTTTTCTATGCAGAAAATGTTATGATTACGCTATAGTTTGTGTCCCTCGTTCCTGTTAATTGTTCGTTATTCGTCTTCAATCATTGATCAATTTTATTTATCTTTATCTTTGATCGTTTTGATTTTCAATCTTGAATTTCTTTAATATTTTGTATGAGTTTGCAAGTATGAGTAATTTGAACATAAAAACGAATTAGTGTGAAATATAGATACGTCGTTATATTATTACCACATCTTTCTCTGAAGAAAATATGCATGATGCAAACTTGTGTTATATGTGATTTATATGTGTACAATAACGATAGTAAAATCGAAGTATAAGTTTTTATGTAAACTAGTTAAATATGTACTGTTAGAATCGCGCAGCAGAATATTCGCGTGGTCGGACAAAAACCAAGAGGGGAGTGAATTGGTTTCTTAATAAAAATTAGGTTTTCAAAATTTTCCCCAAATTTTACCGATTAAAATACTGTGTAAACATAAATAGAGTAGAGATAGAATCTTACACAGGAGATTTATACTGGTTCGGATCAAAAGATCCTACGTCCAGTTGCTAATCACTCAAACAGAGGATTAACGCTGTCACTATAATCAAAGTTGTTACAAACAGATTACAATGGAAAAGATAAAGTAAAGAAAACACCTCTCTTGAAATCCACAAGAGATGAATAACAGTTTTCCCTAGAGACGGCACAGCACACAATTCACTAAGAACTCCACTTAGTGATTCTTATCGCTTCTAGCCCACACCAGGTTCCAAAAGCCCATTTTTCTTGCAACAAACAGTTCTCTGACACTCACAACACTTAACTTTTGTATGAAAAAGGTTGTTCTTCTTTTCTGAATGTCATAGAGAAGCTTAAGTAGAGAAATTAGGGTTTGGGAATTGGGATTTTCGAAACTAGGAGTCTTGGAATTAGGGTTTTCGAAAATAGGGTTGATTTGAAGTTAAAAATCAAAATATGACTGAAATAATCGATTAAATGAAGTGTTAATCGATTATTACATAGCCAAAATCAACAGAACCCCAAAACTCTCTGTTTTAATCGATTAAAAGACCTGTTAATCGATTAACAGGCCTGTTAATCGATTAATAGGTGTGTTAATCGATTAAACCAGTGAGCAGATACAGAAAATGGTTTTTCTCACTGTTTTAATCGATTATTTCACCAATTAATCGATTAAAGCCGAGCCTCTTTGATAAATTTGAGCTTTTTGAAGCTTCTAAGGTGCAGACTATGTACCGGCTATCTCAAACTCTAATATTATAGACTCAATCTAATCAAAACAGAGTTATTACACTATAAAACAAGTCTTCAACATTCTAAGTCTTGTGTTCTTGAATCATCAACAAGCTTCATGTCTAGCAAGTTCAGCATCAAGTCCTTGAATGTTCAACAATCTCCCCCTTTTTTATGATGATCAAAATTTTCTTTTAAAGCCTTGTAATAACCTATTTTATCTGTCATACTAACAAACACATTAAACATACCGGATAATATTTAAAAACAATAATATTAGGCTTTAAATATTTCTCCCCCTATTTTGATTATAATCAAAAATTGAAAGCATGCTTCAATAACAATCATAAGGGTTCCCCCTCAAAATATGCATAAGTTGGAAATTACTCCCCCTCAATCAAAGCAATAAGAACACCACATTTTATTTCAGAAATAAGCATTCATTACAATATAAGAAAATAACAATCAAATTTAAAATTCTTCACTATCATCACTATGAAAGTGTGCATCAAATCTATTTTCTAAATGACACACTTTATCATCTACATCAGATATACGACGAATTATTTCCTCATGTCGTACTCCAAAAAGAGTGAAGAATGTCTGCATCCTCTGATTCATATCAGACAACATGTCTTCCATGGATTGTCGAGTTTCATGATGAGTAGAGGAAGTTCCAACACTTTGGATTTGATCAGAGGGAACCTCAGCAGCAGGAGACATATCTTCATCAGAATCTTCATTATCATCACCTTCATTTGGAACGTCATCCTTGTGAACATAAATATCGTTGACACGCACCATTTGTAGTTGGATCAATGTGCTGTCTAGCATACGATTCAAGTTATTTGTTCGTACTGTTTGTTCACCTTCGACATTTACTCATTTGTATTCAAGGATGCGAGAGACAAGGAGAGCATATGGAATTTTGAAGGTGGGATGGCGTTTGGCTTTTAACATAGTCATGGTGACAAGAATGCCCCAATCTAAAGGCTCATTATTCATTATGGCATTGAATAATATGAAGATCAATTGAAGAACATTGAGCATGATTCGTAGCCCAGGGACATAGGATCCATACAAGTAAATGCAGAATCATGCGTTCCTCCTTCTTCAAAGGTCCAGCTAGAAGGAGACGCCCAATCTCCATGGAGGGGTTTCACAGAAAAGAACGATAAGCTAAGATCCTGTCAAAATCATCTAACTCACCATACACGTTAATAACATCTTCTCTAATAGGAAAGTGGGCAACGTTTTCCCAAATATCATCATCAAGAATAATTGTGACCCCCTTTACTCGAGAGGTGGCAATTTGATCTCTAAATTTGAACCTAGAGTAAAATACCCTAACTAAGTCAGGATAATACGTACCTTGCATTTGGATGAAAGGGAGAACTCCTTGAATTTCAAGAAGATTGGGAAATTTGAATCCCCTATTGATGAACTGCTCACCAATAAGGAACTTAGGAGAAATAATACCACGTTCCTTCCAATAGGACAGAAATTCTTGACGGCCATCAGCATCAGAGATCCATCCTTCTACAGAATTAGGACGGGGATGAGATGAGGGTGTAGATCTTCTTCTAGTGGGGATTTTTGCACGAGAAGATGAGGTCATTGAAGGATTAGGAGAGTAACAAGAAGATTTAAGAGGACAAGTTAAGTGAGAATAAGGCAAGATTGATAGAATGAGGCAAGAAAGCTTGATTTCAAGAGATAGAAGTGAGTAGAAGTGAAATGGAGGTCCCTATTTATAACCAAGCATGTCTAACGGTCATATGGAAGAGAATAAGGGTCAAGAGAGCTGTTGGCAACGGCTAGGAATCCAAATTTGCCAGGTTTAATCGATTAAAACTCAAATTAATCGATTAAACAAGTACCAGACCCAGTTAATCGATTAATTTGAGTTGTTAATCGATTAACACTGGGTTTAATCGATTAATGGGCGAATTAATCGATTAATCCAGAGAGAAATATCATGTTTTGGGTGTTTTGGATGCAAATAATCGATTATAACTCTAATTAATCGATTATTCCAGAGAGATCATCAAATATTTGAGGTTTATGCACATGATAATCTATGAACATCCTACATAATGAATTATAACATTATAACCATCCAAAAACTGTCTAATTAAGTAGAATTTAAGTTATTTCTAATATCCCTAAGTCTCTTCTAAGATCATAAAATCTATCCTTGGGTAGAGGCTTAGTAAATATATCTGCTAATTGATGCTTTGTATCAACGTACTCTATTTTACAGTTTCCTTTGCTGATATGATCTCTCAAAAAGTGATGTCTAATCTCTATATGCTTAGTCCTAGAGTGCATTACTGGATTCTTAGTAAGATTAATTGCACTCGTATTATCACACATTAAAGGTATGTCATTTAAAAATATACTATAATCTTCTAACTGTTGTTTCATCCACGTAATTTGAGCACAACAATTACCACTGCAATATATTCAACTTCAGTGGTAGATAAAGCAACACATGCCTGTTTCTTAGAATACCAAGAAACTAAGGATGAACCTAACAAATGACATGTCCCACTAGTACTCTTTCTATCAATTTTGCATCCACCATAATCAGGCATCGAATATCCTATTAAACTAGTACAAGCATCGGATGGATACCATAAACCAAAACTAGTAGTTCCTTTTAAATATTTTAAAATATGTTTTACTGCAATTAGGTGAGATTCTTTTGGACAAGACCGAAATCTAGCACACACACGACATGTAATGCATAATATCGAGTCTACTAGCAGTTAAGTATAACAGTGAACCTATCATACCTCTATACATAGATTGATTAACTTCCAAACCTGATTCATCCTTGTCTAGATAGCATGAAGTTCCCATGGGTGTGTTAACTTCCTTTGAGGTGTACATTCCAAACTTTTTAAGGATATCTTTGTAGTATTTGGTTTGAGAGATGAAAATGCCATCTTTAAGTTGCTTGATTTGTAGTCCAAGGAAGAATGTCAATTCTCCCATCATAGACATTTCAAATTCTCCTTGCATTATCTTAGCAAATTCTACACACAACGAATTATCAGTTGATCCAAAACTAATATCATCAACATATACCTGGACCAATAAGATATGTTCTTTAACTTTCTTTATAAACAGAGTAGAATCATCTAGAAAAATCATTTGAAGTTAGGAAACTACTTAGCCTTTCATACCAAGATCTAGGAGCTTGTTTCAACCCATATAATGTTTTCTTTAATTTAAAAATATGATTAGGATAACTAAAATCTTCAAATCCAGGGGGTTGCTCCACAAAAATGTACTCTTAACATCCATTTGATATAATTTAAATTTCATCAAAGATGCATAAGCAAGAAGTAGGCGTATAGCCTCTAACCTGGCAACAGGAGCATAAGTTTTATCATAATTTATACCTTCCTCCTGACAATTGCCTTTGGCAACAAGTCTGGCTTTATTCTTTGTTATGTTTCCATCTTCATCAAGTTTATTTATAAACACTCATTTGGTTCCAATAACTTGATGTGATTCTTCTCTTGGGATTAATTCCCAGACTTGATTCCTTTCAAATTGGTTAAGTTCTTCTTGCATGGCTATGCACCATTGGTCATCTTTAAGCGCTTCCTCAACATTTTTGGGTTCTATCTGTGACACAAAAGCTACAGACATACAGAATTTAGTCATATTTCTAGTTC